CGCCCACCCCACCAGGCCGTAAGCAGGAGGTTTAATATCTCCACGCAATGGACCTTGAGAGAAGTTTTGGGCCGAATTTCGGAACTGGCGCCCACCGTGCATTGAACTGTCACTTCTCAATTCCATGTAATGCCATGATTTTGCATCGTTTGGGAATGAAAAGGTCTGAAAATTTAACCTGAATGATGACATTTAGGTTTTGCCACTTTTTGTCGTTCCCATTTTCTTGATATTATTGTTACTGAACTCAGTGGTATGTAGTTAAAAAAACTATTATGAGAGACACTTCCAAGAATTTAAATTGTAGCTTCATCATGAACTGAAACACTTCAAGGAACACTCCATTGGCTGTCGGCAGCCTTTACAATCTCCTCCCTCTTTCCTCAACCAAGGCTTTCAGTCTGTGCCAGGGAATACACCAATCAAAGGTTTCTCATTGAGAAGCTTGTTTGCTGGACCAACAAGCATACATGCACCTGCACATAATCACGCCTATCCTATACATCTCAGGGAGCTGTAGTACTGTTCATTGAGAAGGGAGAGAATCAGACATTCCACCTGCTACTTCCATGGAGCTAATGGGCATGGAAGAAAAACTCCTTGGTTGTCAATCAGACTGTTTTTTCACTTCCCCGCCCCCATTATTAATGTACCACTTTCTATTAAAATAACTTATGATAGCTTATAAAAGTAACAGTCTCCAAATATACAAAGCAGTTCAGCAAGTTGGAGTGAGTGTGGAGTGGTCCTTTAACCACTGAGCTACATGGTTATACTTCACCTTTTCGGAGGTCAGGTTTGGCAGGCCCGTATTTACTAAAGTGAGACTTGGCAGGAATTTAAAATTTTTGGTTAAAATAGCCAAATTAGAAAAAATATCCAAGTTAAATCTGTTTTTAGTTTGAATTCATGGTAATTTCCACTCTAGTGTATATCTCTCTACATGTGACTCAAGGGACACTTACATTTGAGGATACCTAGTTTGTATTCCTCTAGGGGGAGTCAGAGAGCTTTGATCACAGGTATCATATTGGGCAAAAAAATCACAACTATCACTTGTTTTAATAGTGATAACAGATAATTATTATTGCTTAAAGGGCTGTATGCTATATAGATTATGAATGCATGCAAAATAGATGAAAAAAAAAATAAAACAAAATATATTATACTATACTACTGTAAAAAGTATTATGTATAACCAACAGGCACATACATAATGTTGGCTTAATAGGAATTTTTTTTTTTTTTTTATAAAACCTAAACCTTTCTACTTTTTTTCTCATCCTTTTTTCCTTTTATTATTACTTTCTAGTTTTAGTTATAATACGACACCTTCAAGTGTTATCATTATTTTAGTTCCAATGAAACCACTAATTTAAACAAAATTCTTCTAATAAACAAACCCCACCTGTAAGTGGTAGGGAAAGGCACTAAATATTTAGTTTTGGAAGTCTTAACAGAACGTTAGTACTTTAAATTTGCTCACTTTCGAGGTGCAAATTTATAGAGCTGTCAGACAATTTCTTTTAAGTCGAAAAATTAGAAGCAGCTGTTGTAACAACCTTCTACAGACCTATTTTCTGAAGGATAGGATGGGAGCAAAAGGTTTTCCTGTTTAATTTAACTTAAGCTTAGTCCTTTTGTTTGGAGCCAGAATCACCGTGCCCAGATCAGAGTGTAATTTTCCCCTTTAATTTAGGCGCCAGTGTATTAGACAGGAAGTCAATTGTACCTTAGACCACCAGTAACTAAATGCAGAGAATGGATTTTGCACGCAAACTTTAAGAGCCAGATTTGTTTTTCAGCCCAGTCTATTTGTCATGTGCTATGCCAGATGGATTGACAAACACTTATTCCGAGAGGCACTAGAAGATACTGTGTTATTCTGGCATTGATGTAGTATTGTTATAAATATTTAAGAACCAATTCAATCCTAAAACCTCAACAGACGTAAAAAGAGCTCCGTTTAAAAAAAATGCTCGCTTTTGACATTGTAGCGGCCAAACAAGCAACTGTTCCTTATGATCTGCTCACATAATCAAGTTTTTATTCAATATATTTTAGTAGGTGGTCCACGGTAATGATGTGTATATAACATGTTCAAAATCACACATTACTTTTAATCTTATTTTTAGTGATAGCACCAAAACACAAACAGGATTTAGTGATATTAATAGGAAATTTTCCCCCCCATTTACAGATGCATTCTAAGCACCACAACCACTTTCCCATTTAAAGATGCATTCTAAGCACCACAGGCACTCTGAGCCAAGAATTGTGTTGCGAAGTTGAATGGAATCAACTTATTGGAATCCTCATGACAAAATGTATTTTTGACATTAGCAATATAAGGAGAGTCAAGGTTTTTGTCCAACCACTCCAAACTGGTTGGGAAAAACTTGGCGGATTACACCCAAAGACTCAAAACACCACATCCACTACAATGCAGAGTGGTGGGTATGGTTTTTAAAGTACCCATTTAGCCTAGCCTATTCACATATAGTGAGTATATTTACATAATAATGTATGTGATCAACAAAGGATCGTTTGAGAACTTACCCAGCTTCTCTTGCTATTCCCTGGCTTGGCAATAGAATGCCGGACCTCAGTATAATTAATATATTAAAGTCCCTTTTTGTTTATCCTAAACCCCTTTGTGGATGTTAATTCTCACCTCCTGGGTGGGATTGCCTGCTTTTCAGGTTGAACCTGTTATTTTTCTGGTTAAGATACTTTGGCTTACATTTTGCAATTTCCTTGTTAATTCTCCACAGTTTACAGCTTTGTGAATAAACATCTAGTGAGTAGGTAATAGCACAGTATTTGCATAATTTTGGAAGACTAACTGGGGATGCAAAAACCCATGGTGCATTCAAAATGCAGAATTTCAATATTTCATCTGAAAAATAAAAATCTTTTGGTGTCCTGTAAACAGCACAAAGAAGACTAACTTCAAGCTAAGCATCAGAGATCAAAACCTTCTCTGTTACAACAAAAATACTAAATATTTTGGAAGAGTCCGGTGACCTTCTTCCTGTACTCGAAGATCAAAGGAATTCCCATCAATATGCCAAGTCGGAGCCTGCAATTTTTCCTGCACCTTCCTCCAAAAATTTGATATCTTCATTGGGCATTTCACAAACCTCCATACCAAGCCAAATATTTAGAATGAGAGGTCTAGGGATATCCTGATGTTATGCTTTTGTTTTAAACTGCCAAATCCACTCCTCACCAAAACCATGCTCGAGAATCAATAGGAATTATGGGAGGTTGGAAAGGATTAGGGACTAGTATATGCACAGCAATTTTATAAATTGTGGAACTGAATATGAAAAGCTTATTTGCCAAAGTCCTAGGAAAGGTTTGATCATAGACCGTTGAGTGAAGTGTGTGGGTTGATATGATATAATGACCTTCTGCTCTGTAAAAGGTTAGTGCACATCACTAGAGAAAATAAATATGTAATGTGGAAATGGAATGTTTGCTAGGAAGAAATAGGGATGAGAATTGTTACGCTTTATATCTATAATTGCAAGGGTGCCCCAAAAGTAGATCCCTAGATGTTATCCTAAGGGCAAGGAAAGCATCATGGTAGTTGCAGTTTTTTAAATCACTGGGGTTGTAGTTTTCCAACAGCTGTGGACCTACTTTTTAGACACCTCTGATCTAGAACATGTACAGACTGAAATTTAGAGAATGGAACGAAACAGTTGCTTGCAAGATGTTGAAACCTCTCCCCCAAATGTTCTCAACATATTATTGACATTCTTTGACACTCTATAGTTTAAATAATGGCTGTAGCTCTTTGTCTGCACATAGTTACATCTGTGAAATCAAAGGCGATCACAGTGCTATACACAAAAATTCCACACAAAAGAACCCACATGTGGGTTATCCAACTGGAAGGATCATATCATAGGTCAGAAAGGTGTACTCAAACAATGGGAAATAGCTGAGCCTCTAAGTAACACTGGATCAAAGGTTAGAATACCTGTCGAGGATTCAGGACATTTTCTTTAAAAGCTGCTGAATCTTAAAAAAACACATGATGACTGTATCTTGGATGGAAATTTGAGACTGACAAGATATATTGAAAAAGACCTCTTAATAGGTCGAAACGTTGCTGCCTTTTTGTTTCATTAAATCTGCCTGCGGCTTTAACACTCTGAGTGCCTGGGAATATCTTTGTTGCCTTGACAAGATATATAGACAATCCCATACATATGTTTTGAATGCACTTAAAGGTTTACAGAATCGTTTATGACAGCAATGAGATTTCTTCTATAAGTAAAATACAAATAACAAATTTAACAAATAACATTTCTACGTGATTGGCAAGGGCTCAGCCATATGCTGATACTTTGCAGTCCAAATACGGAAAAAAAGTACTGTTTGCCCCTAAAGGTTTGCAAACAATTTTAAAACGTATGGCAGAAGTGTAAATTATATATCCACCATCTAGAGAAGTCTCGCATTACCTTACCAGTTACCAACATGGAATATTTCACTTCTTCACCTGGGATGATATAGACTGTCAGAAAGAAATTTGCCTTCCGGACTTTAGTTTAGAAAACAAAAAAAAATGTTAACAATTTAATAATTAACTTATCAAAGTCCTGTGAATGATTATGTGGGCAATCCAAAGGATCCAGGAAATGTCATCATTTGTAAAGCCGTAAGTCTCACTCAGTCAGTAAGAGTTTTTATGAGATTAATCTATCACACTCAATATAATTTATTGGATTAGCGCCCACATTGGGGTACATCGGCATTATGGGGGGTAGGTATATGGTGTTTGCATGTCACTAACGTATTATGTAGTATAATTATGTAGTTTGTTTTGATTGAGCATTTACTTGTAGAAAGAAAGGGAAGAATATGACAAAACAAGAAAAAAAAACACACAAAAGGGGAAGACAAGAAAATGGTTGTTTTCTCTTATTCGCTACTTTTTTACTCTAAATGAAAGTTATAGATAGAACACTAAGTCGGGATCACTTGGCAGCATTTATTCCATTTATTGTGCAAACAATGCCGATAGTCATGGCAATAATGGGGTTCGGCTATTTGGAATAGAATACACATTTTTCATAGAAAAATGTAACAATATAAAAAATACAAAAATATTTATATCAATATTTACATTTTTTTTTAAATAACATGCAATTCTCATTTGCATATATAAAAGTACTAAAGCAATTTTAAACATTTAAAAAGTGTAATACAAACATTATTCCCCATTTTGAGAACTTTGTCCATTTTGGTTATTTTGATGCTCATTCGTAGCTGTATTGCATATTGTCCAGTCTAAAGTGGAACACATGAAAGGTATGAAATGCACTCTTCTGGTTAAGGTCCAAAGCTGAGGTAGAAGGTCAAGTAAATTCTTTGGCATAACAAAAAGTAGCTACTGTGAGATTGCTAGGTGTCCATTTCGTAGCAGTTATATACAGTAGTCCTATAATTATCAGAAGGCTGTTTGTGCAATAATATTCCAGTTTCATCTGGAAGTACTTTTATTTGGTCCTCTTTATTCCCTGTCCCAGGTTGAATACTCAGTAAAGAACTAGGATCATTGTGAGATGGCAACTGATGGACTGTTCGTTGCACATGTCCGGGAAAGGAATCAAGACGAGGCCTCCACAATGGCTTTCCAAATGTTCCTAAAAACAAAAAAAAATACAAATAATGAAGACTAAATTTTTTCAACCTGTCTGCAGATACTTAAACAAGCTAATTTATCACATTATTACACATTTTTAATTTTACCTTGCTCAAGGAATACTCTGAGCACCATAACCACTACAGCCCTCTATGGTGGGTATGATGCCAACTGTGCCCTGGTGCCCTCCCAGAGGAAGTAGTAAATCTATTTGTGAATGCTTTAACATTCTACATACTACATCCCCCTTGTGGAGCTGGATGTTTTTTACAATGAGCTAGCCAGGTGGCTTAGCTCATTGGCTAGAGCACTTAGCTGATGCTCTCAGTCAATGAACAGGGACCTGCAAGGCAGAGATTAGCTCAGGGGAAAAAATGGAAGCCCCTAGCAGCATCTTCCACTTCTACAGGACATTGTAAGCAATGGACCCCTGGTAAATTGTCCATGCATTTCCAAATTGATCACTTATGCTGAAAGGGTGTCAAGACACTAATGGCACCACAACCACTGTAGTGATTATAGTGTTTGGAGTGTTCCTTTAAAAATTCAAAAAGTCACTGTGCATCAGCCTCTCCTAAAATTTCAGTCATTTGCTGGCTGAGAATGTTAGAATGTAACAGCTGGGGCATTACAGTCATTATATGCATATACTTAATAGAGTCCATTAGTATCGAGAGATATTTAAAAGTGAAGTAAAAGAACAAAATGCATTAATGATCCGCAAGCTGAAGTCTGCATCAATGGAGATATAGAAAAGTATCACAATTTGAAAATGGAGGAGATTTAAGTAGCAGTGTAACAATGAGCGGGAATATTTCACTAGGAGTTACACAACTTGAAAACGTTACCCTACTTTTCAGAACACAATACTTTGATAAATGTATCCAAAGTGGCAACATATTGAGGTTGGTATATTTACAAAACGGAGAATTGTGCAGAACAGTTCAAAAGGGATTTTGTTTTTTTGGGCGGAAATATTCAATATATTTTCAAATTTGCCATTTTTCCAACTCAGCTATTTTTTTTCTAAAATGTATTTTACTCCACATCCTTGGTGTAGGTGTACAAACTCCCATCAAGTATGGCGTGCCATAGCTCTATATATTTAGCTTAATGCACACTCAAACGGCATGGTTCCCATTTACCATACAATCGATTAGAATTAATATATTTGTCTATGATCCTTTGCTACAACAAACAATGAAAATACTTAAATTCAGCCTTATTTTCTAAGCCTTTTTTCCAGTACAAACCTCATTACCCTTAGAATAACAAGGAATAAATAGGCGAAATATGAGAACGCAGGATGTAGAAGTCAAACACAGTCTAAAGCCATATATAAACACTGGAATGGGACACAGTCAATTGGTAATTATAAAGTAAAAAATCTCAAATTCTGTTCTAACTTTTTGGAAGTATGACGCCCTCTATATAAACAAGTGAGTCGATGAAGAAATGCAAATAAATATGTATATGTAAAGGATCATATTCCAGGAACACATAATAAAAGTGATTAGTTGGCTTTCATCATCGTTTGACTAATTTAAAATTATTAATATTTTGTTATTGGAACAGGGCATGTTAATTGTTAAAGTGCCATTATCAATCATGTTGCAACTTTACATTACAGTGTTGCAAATATACGGAAAGGGTGTCATTTATAAAAGATACGGAACATAAGTATAACATTTGCATGGATAGCAACACAAAAAAGCTTACATATGGGGTAAAACAAATACAAACAACAAAAAAAACTATGAAATTCAATGTAATGTGTCCCTTAATGGAAATAGAAGATTGTCACTGGTATTTTCTAAAGAATAGAGTGCGAACTATTGTCTTCCAACTTCTACACCAAAGATATGGGTAAAGTTTGTAGGACACAAAACATAGGGTGCTAAATGTAACATAAGCAATGAATTGGGAATGGGCCCATAGTTCAATATAAGTTCTCATTAGGTGCTAACAATAAGTTTGGGGTATGTTAGCTCCTTAAGGACACATGACGGAAATATTCCGTCATGATTCCCTGTTATTTCTGAAGTTGTGTCCTTAAGGGGGTTAAACAGATCTAACTGCTCTTAAGTATTAGTGATACATTGTAACTTAATAGAAAGACCTACCCATATACGAACTACATGACGCTGCGTTTGACTGCTCTGAGTTTGTTTTTAGGCCACATGGATCATGATTTGGACTGATTTCATTTCCATGATCTTCATTTTGATTGTAGACTGTGTCAAGTCCATCGATAAAGGTTTCTGGACTACATTTATTTTTGCTAAAAGAATCTTCTCTCTGCTCTGCATATGTTCCACAGGCTTTCTGTTTTAAATATTCTGATTCATAAGCGTTACTGCTTGCAGCCCTTTGATCCACATTATAACCTTTAAAAATAGAAAATAATATAGTCAAATAAAACGTTTATAAAACAAAGCCAAAATAGGTCAAAACACATTTAGGAAAATGTTTGTTAACATACCTGAATGATAAACGTCACATGAATCAGAATCATAAGCATTCCCTTTTAAGAACAGCGAACCAGGTGCCCCTAAGTAGTGAAACAGTAAGGGATCTATAGCAGCGTCCAAGTCAGCCTCGCTCCCATTATCAAAATGGCAGATCCCTACAAACACATTGATAAAAAAAATGTTATGAAAGTGATCGACGGTTTGACATTTTAGATGCAGCCGTATATACACTTAAAAGTGTTCTTAAATGCTCAATAACATTTTAGTCTATTCTTTTATTTTTTTATTTTAAGCTGCAAAAAACCCCAGAAAAGACCAGTTAACACCTGCCAGTGATCTGTTCCACATTTCATACTTCATCTTCTGATTACATGATATTTATTATGTTTTTAGGGGGTGAGGTCCTCACTTTTCAAATGTGTTTATGTATACACACACACATAAATTATTTAAAATGCTAGATGCCTAAATGAAACAATAGCATAAGTACTAGCTGTAGTAAAAACCAAAACACTGTATACCATTGCTATTTCTTTGCTGTAGATAATAACCACTCAGAGATGTTGCAAAATGGTGGTTTCCATTTTCAGAAGACACATAGCCATCTTGCCTTTCAGCCAGTGTTCCCTGAGAAGACAAATAACTTGGAGTATCTGGCAAGTTGGTCTCATCTGCAAGAATAAAAATGTAATTACAAAATTAGGTCAAGATGACACAAAATTAGCTTTTAATGGTTGACTGTAGGTCTAATTACTGTAGAAATAAATATGTATAAATATCTTAGCAGAATAGGTTGGTGGTATATAAATATATACATATAAACACACAAAACCCATAACACATGTCAGTACACATAGTAACATTATTATTTAGCAAACTTCCAGCTCACCCACCTGTGTTTGTAACACTGCAATCCTCGTTTTTTCTCCTTGTGTGGTATATTATGGCCACCCACACAAGGGAGGTTCCCACCACACAGCAAACCACTACTATGATCACAATGCCAACAGTGCCCCATCCACCATCCTCTAACTTTGTGGCAATTGTAGTAGAATAACATGTTATATTTGGAATGACAGAAAGATTAATGTTGCCTCTTTCCGTTCCAAGCACATTAGACAGTTCACATGTATATTTTCCGGCATCTTCGAAGTCTGTATCCACGATGACAAGAATTTTGTCTCCGGCAGCGAAGAAATGCCTCTCTGTTACAACTAACGGTTTATCATCCTTTATCCAGGTCACTTTGGGTGCTGGGCTTCCATTAGCAATGCATTGTAAAACGGCATTTCCCCCCTTCGATACAGTTTGGTCAACTAAGGGTCGCATAAAGGATGGTGTTTCTGGAACATGAAAAAAAACAAAACATATAACATATTACATTACCTTTCTAACAGACATTGTACAATACAGCTTTTGCATACACACCAAATAAAGTTTGCATTGCAAGTGGGAAATATTGAGCGGGTTAAAAAGATATGAATTATTTCCTTAAATCTATCAGAATGCAGTAATGTTGACAGGACAGTGCCTTGTGTATTATGGGAAAACAATGCCTCTGAAGAGTTCTGGAGAAGTCATAATAAACCACAAGATAGCAATTTTTTTGCTTAATTTATGTTTCACTTTTAAGTATCTTTGTTATTTATGCTGGCTTGTTCTAGGGTTACAGTTGCTCTGATCTTAAGGCAGCACTGAGATATGCATATTGTGGGTGTTCCACTAACAAGAGGCAGATAACCATTTATTGCAATCTCTCTCTTGTAAATGATAAGCAGGTCGAAGAGCAAGGGAGACAGAATTGCATAGTTTCTGCCTACTCAGCCCCTCTCCAGATATACATTGCACAAGCAGGAGAGGATGGGTAGATCATGGGCACATCTAAGGGAATATCAAAATTGATAACACACACACACAACATTAATCCAGTTCAAGCACTAACCCTACATACAAGCAAAATGGGACATTTAGAAAGGCAATATGATAAAATGAAAATTCTCACCTAATACGGTTAATGTAATATTGGTTGAAATGCTTCCAGCGCTGTTCTGAGCAGTACAGCTGTAAATCCCAGAGTCTTCCATTTTCACATTTACCATAAAAAACACATCATCATCTGGCATTACATGCATTCGACGCTCGCGAGCTGCTGGAAAATCTGTGCCGCCATTTTTCTGCCAGGCGATTTCTGGTGATGGATGACCAATTGCATCACACTCTAATCTTGCTGTTGAGCCCGCACGGATGGATAGGTCTGTTGGAATGCTTATGAATGAAGGAAGCACTGAAAATAATTTAAAGAAATGTGTGTAAACAGGTGAGTAATTGACTCACAATTTCATTATAATAGACAAATATTACTATTAACAATTAATATAAAAAAAAGGGTTCTCTCATTTTTCCTAGAGACACATGGAACACCTGTCAACACCTATCAACACTGGGGCGTTATAAAGTCAAGATGGTAGATGGGAAACTGGAGTGGGCACATGCTAATGACACCATTTGTACCACTGATGCTGGTAAAGGGGAAAGGCTGGTGTTGGGATCACAAGTAGATTAACTAGTCTGCCCTGCAGTGCTGTCATGTATTTATACTGCTGACGTGCTTTCATATGTTCAGAAACACCTCTGCCAGATGCAAGAACTTCATTACAGAATCTTTTAGCTGGTTTCCACAGAAACTGGACATTTGTGGGGTTAGGGTACAAAAACCAAAAGTAAAATAATACAAACTGGGTCTGCTGGATAGTGGACATTTGGGATATATATCCTTTTACTCTAGCAGCTAGTTGATGTCATAGGTACTCATTTAAACCTGTTAGAGTATATTTAACTCAAGGATATAATTTTTTAATGTAGAGTAAATGCTTCTTGATCCAAGGATTAATCTTTTTTCCCCTAGTTTGTACAATATTGGAAGTGCTTCAAACTGGGTTTTTTCCCTTCTTTTGGATCAACAGCAAAAAAACAAATGGGGAAGGCTGAACTTAATGGACACATGTCTCTTTTCAGCCTATGTAACTAAAAAAACGTAAGCAGAAAAGTAAAATAGGGAATAAAAGAATACATACTATTGACTGTAAGCTTGGCTTTGACGGAGTATGTAGTACCAAAGTCATTGGAAACAACGCATTGATATTTTCCTTCACTGTTAAACTCCACATTCTGAAGTCTCAATATGGTTGTGTACTCCATCAACTCCTGACCTTCATTCCGCACATGAGCGTAGTTTTCGATTTCTGCATTGTTCAGGGGTTCATTGTCCCTTTTCCATGCAAAAGTCAAAGGAGAGTCACTACTGCTTGCGGCTGAGCATATAAAACTCACGTTGGAGCCTTTAAGTGCAGACTGAGTTTCTGGTTGGGCAATGATCTGTGGTTTAGGAAAGTCATCTATATTGAAAAATAAAAAAAAATGAATACACATTACAAATCATTTTGATGGATGAAAAGATGAAAATAAGACATAAATAAAATACAAATCAAGAAGTATTTTCACAGTGTGGACAACAAAGAAATCAGAATAATCAAAATGTTCTGTGATTTAAGATATTTAAGATAAAATCCATGGGGAAGAAAGCCAATGTGGACTCAGATTCCACTTAACAATGGTATTCTTAAGTGGACATTATAAGTGGACATCATGAGCTCCTGCCAAATTCCAACAGTAGTTTTTATTTTATATTTACATGAATTGGCAGCTAGAATGGCATTTTCTGTACTGATCTATAGAAGGTACGGTTTGGTCCTTGATGTATATCCCAAATACTCAAACTGCACATCAAGAGTTAATGAGTCTTGCAACACTCCCATTGAAATTAGTGGGAAGACTGGGATTGGCTGAGAGTTTTCATCCAATCCCAATTAGACAGCAACGCATAAACTGTAATATATATTTTTAGGTTTATTTTTTTTCTTCATAGAGTATATCCACATTGAGGAGTGGTTTAACTCTCAAATGTAGTATCTCTATAACCATAATACATTTCGTGTAACATCAAAAGTAACTGTATACATTTTTTTCAAGAGATTGTAAGCAATCACAGCAGCACCTGAGTTAAATAAATCAAATCTTTCACATGAAGCAGTATTTATTAAAAGGACAATATAGGCACCAAAACAACTTGAGCCTAATGAAGCAGTGTTGGTGTATAGATCATGGCTTTGCAATTTCCCTGTTCAATTCTCTGTCATTTACGACTTAACCCCTTAAGGACCAAACTTCTGGAATAAAAGGGAATCATGACATGTCACACATGTCATGTGTCCTTAAGGGGTTAAAATAATTTGTTTATACAGCCCTAGTCACACCTCCCTGCATGTGACTTGCACAGCCTTCCTAAAAACTTCCTGTAACATAACCTTGATACAATGGGTTACTGTATTGCACGGTCGGCCTAATCTAGAATATATTTTATCTCCTTCTCTGTTAATAGCCTCCTAGACCTTGCAGGAACCTCCAGTATGCGATGAGATGAAAATTACATTTACAGAGCAGGACTTAAAAACTTTTTAAGCAATTTAACATCTTTTAAAAAAAATTAAAAAAATTTTCATGCAGGCTATATCAGCCACAGCCAGGGGAGGCATGACTAGGGCTGCATAAACAGAAACAAAAGTGATTTGACTCCTTAAAGACAGAGAATTGATCAGTGAGACTGGAGGGCCTGGTATATACACAAACACTGCTTTATTATGCTAATGTTGTTTTGATGCCTATGGTGTCCCTTTAATTTCATGTGAAACAGTTGCGTTAAAAAAAAAAATGTGTTATGCGTGGGCTAAGTTTTTTTTTTTTTACATTAACATTAAAACAAGCCTTAAGCAGAATGTTACCGAACTCACCGCACACAAACCCCTCGGGGTTAACCATGAAGATGTTTCTGCCTTTTAGAATCTGTGGGTGCGCACAGCTTGCGTTCACATAAGTCTTATAATTATTTTCTGCTAACCACCGAGGCAGCCATTGCAAGTGACAATCGCATAACAGACTGGAAGTATTTAAGTGTCTGTAAAATAAGATAAAAATAAAAATATGATTAATAACCAAGACTTAAATTCAGACATATGCAAAACTATTTTTACAGAGTCAAATCAATAAGTACATTTTAAAATAATTTAAAATTTACCAAATGTAGTTAAAGGATCACTATAGCGTCAGGAAAACAAACTTGTTTTCCTGACACTATATAACCCTTAGGCCCCCCCCACCCTTAGGGCCCCCCTCCCTTGGTGCTGAAGGGGTTAAAACCCCTTTAGTTACTTACTTTAATTCAGTGCCGACGTCAGCTCCTGAGTGGAGTGGTCAGAGCCACACGCACATTAAAAACCCCTATAGGAAAGCATTTCTCAATGCTTTCCTATGGACGTCTTGCACGCTGAACGCGATTTTTGCATTCAGCCTTGCAAAAGCGCCTCTAGCGGCTGTCAGGAAGACAGCCACTAGAGGCTGGATTAACCCTCAGTGTAAACATAGCAGTTTCTCAGAAACAGCTATGTTTACATCTGAAGGGTTAAAACCCGAGGGACGTGGCCCCCAGACCCTTTCATTGAGCTGAAGTGGTCTGGGTGACTATAGTGGTCCTTTAAGGAATAATATTGTAAGCAAAATGTGACAAAAAGCAACACTTTTTCCATACAAATCAATGGTAGCTGTATGCACCACAATAAAATTGTTCATCTATAAAAATAGGAGCTAGCTGTTGCCCTACTGATTATAAATCATATCAATATGAACGACAGGTGGACTTTAACTGAATCCTCACATAGTAAACGTTTTTTTAATTATTCATTAAATTTAATCATAAATAATTTATATATTCAATTGACAATTTTAAGCAATGATAACAATTTACCCTTGCTCTGGCCATGATTTGTGGGTTGTGCCTTACATAACACCCTTAATCAAGGTATTTTCAATCTCCAACTCCCTTACCATGTGCTTAATCCTGCATTGCAACCTTCCTTGTAATGTCTACATGCAAGATTCATTGTCAGTGCATAGACCACTGAACAAAGTGACATCAGTTACTTCCTATCCAGCACAAGCAGTACTAACCAGTAACTAGCACAGTAACTACACCACATGTTTCTCTAAATACTGTGCTGGAGAACAGGTAAATCTGCTATAGGAGGGTTCTCCTGATCTCCCCAGTCAAACAGTTATGAGCATAGAGGTCTAAGCTTAAAAAATGATTGACAGGTGAGGGACATATCTTGAAATAGATTATTTAGAAGATATACACATTGCTAGAAGGTCTACTTACACTTGATGAAGCTTCTTCATTTGGGAAAATGCATTATCCTGCATTGACACAATTGCATTGTTACTCAAGTCTCTGTGAAAAAAACCACAGAGCAAATATTCATATTAGTGATACTAAGGACATAATAACTCTGTTTAGATTAGTTGTCCACGAACTTGAAGGAAACAGGAATTTAATTAAGAGTTATACTATCACCATTAAATAGTATTGTGTTTAAAAAACAAAACAAAAACAAAGTATCTCAGTATTCTACTTGTTATCATGACAACTGCTATAAAATGAAACAGTCATGAATTGTACACACACACAGATTGATATATTAATACAACCTCCAATTGTTTCACAAATTATAATAATTACAATATATTTTATCCTCCTATCGATAGAAAGAAAAAGATACACATGCAAAAGTTTGAAAGGGATCTCTCTGAAAGGCCTTTTTTTCCTCAGTTGCCAAAAGCATTAAATACAAATTTGGACATTTTGGAGGGAAGACTTCAATGCATTTATATACAACCATCTCTTTAGAATGACTTTCTAGCTGCTTTACAACTGTGACGAGCTAACCTGTTCCTAAGTTCAGAAATGGTGTAAAATGAACTGGTCAACTTTAAATGGACACTATAGTCACCAGAACAACTACAGCTTATTGTATTTGTTCTGGTGAGTAGAATCATTCCCTTCAGGCTTTTTGCAGTAAAATGCAGTGTTTTAATTACAGCCTAGTGATAACTCCAGTGGCCACTCCTCAGATGGCTGCTAGAGGTGCTTCCTGGGGCAGTGCTGCACACTGCGCAGTACTGCCATTCAGTGTCTCCACCCTCCGCATGCAGACACTGAACTTTTCTCATAGAGATGCATTGATTCAATGTTCCTTTAAACACAGAGTATAAGGTTTTTAAAGAAAATGTGACTAAAATAATTTAAAAATGACATTATTGAATGTGAGTTCAAAACAGTTTTTAAAAGTCAGTGTAATTTAATTTTGAAAGTGTAGTGGCATGCTACACACAATGCCAGTATTAACAGTTACAATACTAGACTAAATCAATTACTTACAAGTACTCAAGTGAATCCAACCAAGAAAATGCCTTTATGGTAATCGACCTAATTCTGTTACTCTGCAGCGTCCTTAAAAAGAAGAACATTAAAGAAATAACTACACATGCACTTAAAGCTGAACATTAACATTTAAAACGGTGTGGTTGTTCTGAATGCAAAAACAGTGAGTTAACAAAAAAATATTACAGATCATTTGATCACTCTGCATAGTCTACAAAACCGACAAAAACAATGAAAAATATCCAGAAAATCCATGGGGTAAGAATGCATTTGTTTGTATGCTTTCTTTTGTTCTTTTATAATTAATTATATTGATAATGGATCTACTTACAGCTTTTTAAGGTTTTCTAGTCCAGAAAATGCCCCGTTCATATCTTCGATAGTCCACGAAATTTCATTACTTTTAAGATCCCTGTAAAAACAAATGGACATATATATTGAATATACACAGAAAATAAATCAACAAGATGATATTATTTAGGAAACTTACTACATACTCACATACTCACAATACGCACACACAATTACAATTACAAGAGTGAGTGTTAGGAATTAGTTTTTTTTTTGAGTGTCACCATTCCAGCATTCTAGACTACCTCCCTACAGCGGAAATTACATTTTAACAAAAGTGCAGTCCCTCCTTTGTGTCTAGGGTTTGGTATCATGGATGGATATTATGAAAGCATACTTTAAAACAAGCCATGCATCATATATATTTTATTTTTTTATTATTTACTTTTTTTTTTGCTTTCGAGTAAAATGTATGCTTGCATAACCTCGGGCCATGATACCAATTCCTAACACTCACATTTGTATCTGCCCTTTAATGAACGAGTATACATGACAATAGACATGCTAGAGTAAGCTTTAGAGAACAATGTGTTTTATTTTGCATGTCTTTAGTACTTTTATTAACCATAACATCCCTCCCCCAGTCTTTAACGCTGATAACACTATCCTGGACATAAAGAAATGTATGACCAGAAATAATTGCTTTAGAATGGACTTTTCACCACAATGAATTGGAAAGATTTGGTTCGAAGGCTAATAAATTAATTTGTTGGGATGGTTGTCTTTGTTATTTGCCGTATAAGATCAAAGACATTTACAGCAAGCGCAACAAAAATACATTTACAGGGTCATGCAATCTCTGTTTCCTACTACACTAGAATTCCTACTTGCAATTGGCAGGATTATGCTAATCTATTAAAAATGTGGAACAATGCTGAACTCCTCCAATGTTTTGATGGCTTTAGTGCTTTTACATCCACTGTACCAAACATATTTATTTCACTACCAGACAAAACGCTTTCTTTACGGACAGTGTTTTTTTCTATTTATTTATTTAAAAAAATTTTTTACACAAAGTCTTTACTTGGAAATACACATTGCAGCATTGAAGCATGAACTATTCCACAAAATATTAAAAATATATATTAAAAATATTTTTTTAAAATAACAATAACATTAATAATAAAAATTAATTTTCAAAAAGTTGGACTAGATGTGAGACAGGCTTGAATATGCAGTTTGCTAGATCTCAGACTGGTTTGAAAAATATCCATCCTGGGGTTACCACAAGAAGGCAAAATTACCTTCTTCATTTAGTTACTTTTAAGTTTCAATATCATAAACGTCACATCTATTGCCAAAAATATTTAATAATAATCACCATTGCCATTACATGTCAATCACATGAATCTCAGACACTCTCATTACTTCTAATAGGTGAGTACAAAACCGTTAATCCGAAAGTAGATTTTTAAAAGCCAGATATTGGAATATGGAAAAAAAAATTTATTGGATAGAACTTACAAGGTGTTCAAACTGGACAGTCCGTTAAAAGCTCCATCAGCAATGTAACTGATTTGGTTGTGTCCTATAAATAGCCGACCAAGCAGATTTAATCCCATAAAGCCTGACTCTTCTAATCTTGTCAATTGATTGAAGGATAAATCTCTAGAACAAGAAACGAGAAACATTGGTACATGCAATATTAAAAAAAAATAAAAAAAAATATATATATATTGCTAAAACAAAAGTTTGTTTTTCAAAATCAAATAGAAACACTAAATGTTTTAAGACGATGGCTTAGTGACAAAAGAAACGCCAGCGGTTTTGTTCTTTTAAATGATTTTTCTTCTAAAAAGAAGAAACACGTACTAAAATAAGAAACAATTTACAACAAAGTATGACTCAGAAAAAAACAAATAGCCGTGGTAACTATGTTATGAAAAATGTATAAAACTATGGTAAGAAAGTCATGTTTTGGCATGAAACCCATACTAAGCCTGGAACTAAATAAAAGCATCTTACAGCTCACTAAGTTTCTGGCAAAACTCCCAGGCATCAGGGCTGATCTTGCTGATGGCATTCTGGCTTAGATGGAGGTGCTGTAACATATGCAAACCATACAACCACCCTTTGCTAATTTCTGTGAGATTGTTATGGTCCAGCTGCCTGCAGAGAAAAAAAAAGAAGGGAATATATAAATGTCACTCAAAAAAAACAACAAAACTATAAATTCCATTTGGAAGCATCCAAACATCTTCACAAACAAATCTTTTAAACTGCAGGAAAAAAAGAAAACAAATGTACATCAAACATAGCTTAAATGGACCCTCTGGGCACAATAACAATGTCATTTAAATTAAGTTGTTATGGTGCCAGGAAGTTCCTGGAGCTAGTTTACCTTTAGTGGTTAAACCATTCACAGATGAGTTAATCTCAAAGTCTCCTCTTCAGCACCGGATTGCTCTGCCCCTTCCAACATCCACTTGCTGAAAAGCTTCTAAATGAAAATCTAGAATTTCAATGGGCAAGGGCTCTGCTGATTGGCTTAGAGAGGTCAGGTGATGTTCTCAGCCAGTCAGTGGCTCCCCATTCGCAAAACAGCTTGACAAATGTAAGTTTTTTTCCTAAAGCCATTAATATTCCACATTCTAAAGCTTTTTAGCAAGCATATTTTGCCGGGGCAGAGCGATCCGCTGCTGGAGAAGATACTTTGGGTCAAACTGGTGGTGAATGAATCATCCCTTAAAGGTAAGACATGATTAGAGATATTCTGGCATCATAACAACTTTATTTTGAATAAATTGATATGGTGCCTGAAGTGTTCCTTCAAAAAAACAAAAAGTGTCTTTTTGATGGTATAATATGGAAATATGAATTTTGCAATAAATTAATTGAAATGCTCATTCTTTTTTTCGTAGATAATGATTTCACTTCTTGTATTGGCCCGTGGTTGACATTGTAATATCTAATAAAATCTGTTTTGTATAATGTAATTGGTGACCAAGAGAGCAACGGGAGGCTAAGCCAATCCCAGCAATCACAACGAATCAATGTCAGCAAAGCTTGAATTAATTTGTACAGATAGTGTAGAATGAAAACGTCTGAGCAAAATAAAATTAGTGGCAATGGGTGCTTGTAGAGTCACAGTGTTTGTCAAAGCGCTCAAATGGCTTATCAAAAAAATTGAGGGACTCCACATCAAACTATCTGCACCATAACAACTGCAATAAGCTGGAATGACATGGTGCTTGGGGTATCCTTTAATATAAATGGTACTATAAGTATATTTCTGGGAGTTTATGTTACAGATGGGTTAGTGAATTTTACATTGTAACACTCAAGTATAATTCTTGTAGGTACTTACAGTATTTCCATTTTATCCAAATCAAAGAATGCTCCATCCATAAGTCTTGTGATTCGATTCTTCTGAATACTCAAGGTTTTTAAAGCATTGAGGCCTTGAAAAACGAGCCCGTCAATAGATCGCAGCCGATTACGATTTAGCTCTCTGTTTAACAAAAAAAATTATGACAAAAAGCAGGTTAATAAAAGAGAAATGGAATATGGAATTACATAGAGGGGGAAAAATACTCTGGACAGATTTGGAAAACCCTTCAGTTTGGGAGCTCATTTGGGAAGGACCCTCTTCAACTACTGTTCCTGTATGTTTTGTTAGAATTAAATGTTTTTCTTGTTTCGTATTGTACAGCGCTGCTGAATATGTTGGCCCTATATAAATAATGGTAATTGTATATGGAAACAGGAGAGATGCATGAGGACTGTTAAGGGGCCTCAAAAATTCCGATAGCTGTCCTGAGCAGTATAATCATGACAACATTATCTAGCAAACCTAGAAGTTACATAAAGATATATGCCAGTGATACTATAATACAGTAGAGACTGAAATTATGCACACATTAATTATTTATACTTTCATCAAGATTTAAAATTAGACTCAATCCGTGTTAGTTGAATCTTTAAGGTTAAAAATAAAGGTGAATAATAACGCAAAATGTACTTACAAATGCTGCAAATTAGACAACTTGAACATTTTCAAAGGAATGTGGCTGATACGGTTCTTATTAAGCTTCAACACTTGTAACGTGGTAGATAAATTGTCAAAAGCCCCAGACTCCATTAATTTTATTTGATTTCCATTGATATACCTGATTGGGAAAAAAGTGTTTTCTATAGTAAGAAAATGCATTGCAACACCATCAAAATAGTCCATCCCTCCACTGCATAATGGATCCGTCACATTATTTCGATAGGAAGTACTCACAGGTATTTGAGCTGAAGTTTAGGGAATGATGCCGTTTTAAGTTCTGTTATAAGATTATAACTCAAGTCCAATGTTTCCAAAGACTGATAAGATGTCAAATGCTCTGGCAAAATGGTACTAATCTTGTTGTTGGTTCTAAAATAAATAAATAAAAGTCAGTTAAATGTTTGTGTGTGAGAATGCAGATATAAAGTCAAATTAAAAAGAATGATAATAACAAAAACAGTTTAATTATAATCAATGTGCAAAGAGTCAAGATGAACATAAACATTTTGGAGTTTATATACATCATTGGACCACAAGTATTACCCTTTTTACTTAAATATTAAGCTGCAATTTATTCGCACACCTAAATGGATGCATTTTTAGTAAATCACCGTAAAGCATGAAGCCGAACGATTAAACAAAATTCATATAAGCTCTATGCTAATCTAATTTTGCCAAAAGAGCGCCAAAGCAAGCAGTTTCAAACTGCAAACCTTAACAACATTGCTGTTGAAAAGTAAGCAAAAATGCATATTTTGACTTTTAAAAACATAGTAGAGCAAAATGTCTAAACTTCATAAAATGACTGTGAGGCAGGAGTTCGTACGAGGTGTTGAGGTATGCAAAAAATTAAAGCTACATGAAGGATTTAACAGATTGCAACAAAGAAAACAGGCATTCTGCTATGAATATTACAGGTGTAATTTACTTAAAATTGAGTTAAACAACAGGGCACAATGCTGGTTTATTAAGAAAGTAATTACTTACAAAGTGTTAAAGCCATAAATTTAAACTAGTGATATACTTTCCTTTGCAGTGTGGCTTTTTGCAGCTGGGGCCAGCAATTTCCTGTACTGCACACCCTCTAAATTGGAGCCTGAAAGTGCTCACTTAGAATTCAGACAGGGATACAGTGATGCCTTTGTGTATAGCGTTCTTTATAAAGCACAGCATTTTCTCCTAGCTAGATGGATAATGGACACTATTACATAACATTAGCATGATCTAATGTTCTCAAAGAAGTCAACATTGCAATCTTACGAAGAAATCTAAATCAGGATGTTCCCATAACAGTCTAAAGACAAGGAGGTAGCTCCTATGGGCGTTTCGAATACCGATAGTCAAAATAAAATATCCAGCATTACCTAAGATACCAAATATTTAGAAACCTTTGCTGTAATGCATCCGTTCCAAAGGTCTTAATAATATAATAGTCTTCTTCTCTAACTCTAAAGACATCGAAAACTTTATAGTGGGCTTTGAATAAAAGAAAATGTTAAGGTCCTGCAACATCACACCAGGAATCAGCAAGCTCGTCCAAACTTTTGAAGCTTAAGTCTGGCATATTGACAGAACAAGTTTGCGATCTTGAGTGCTTTGTGATGTACGGCATATTAGCTGGTAGTATCCATTTGAAAATCAGTCAGTGTGCCCCTTAAGCGATGACTATGGTCAACAACAATGCTTAGGTACACTGCAGAATTCATGTTATGTTCAATTGATAATAGTAATTATTGATAATAATATTCCCCACACCATTACACCACAACCCTAGTTGGCCAACTTCAGGTATGCACCAATGTCTGACCCTAAATTCCGCATGTTGCAAAAAAAATTGAGTTTCATCAGATCAAGCAACATTCTTTTAATCTTCAGTCATCCAGTAGACACTTTTCCTGTCTTAACAGACAATAGGGCAAGCTTCACGGACATGCTACCCCACCGCTGTAGTCCTTCTGCTTCAAGGTTTGTCGGACACACTATACATTTGCAGAGGTCTTTTTGCACAGAACTGTTATAAACAATGTTCATTTGAGTATCTTTGACCGGACAGCTTGAACAAGTCAGACCACTCTCCTCTGACCATCTAGAAACTGTGATGATTAGAAATCCCAAGTGGTTTTGCCATTCCAGAGATGCCAGAGCCATCATGCCCGGCACCAACATTCATATCATGGACACAGTTTGTCAGATCATTTTGATTCTATCGTGTGTTCAAACAACAAATAAACATCTTCACCATATCTAAATGATGCATGTACCAAGTGCCGCTACATGGCTTATCAACTGAGTAAAAAAGGTTAGATATATCTAATAGAGTGGTTGTTTGTTTGCTATTCCCTTTTCCATGATTTTAAGAAATGCGCATATGCATTCATTTATTGGTGCATTTGAACAGATTGGAGTTAAATGAACTTCTAAAAACATTTGGAAATGAAATCTCTCATTGGATAAATTAAAAAAAAAATCTGCATTATATGCTGTTTAATTTGTTTTATGTGCATATTATCTACACTTCTTTGCTAATAAGATTAAACACATTAGCTGATGTGTTTAGGTCCCGTAAGCTTACATGGATACAAGGATTGCTTCTTATTCTTAACTATGATTTTAATATATATGGATGCAGCATAATTTCATAAATGCCTAATGACTTACATTTATACCCAACTTTTTATACTCTGCACTCAATCTGTGTGGTATCTGGAGTACCCCTTTAAGATAATAAAACCTTTCACAATAATTCTGATATAACTAGCTAGCTACACCTGGCTCATTAGCCTTGAGCAACATGTTTTCAAACGCTCCCTCCTCCCCTTCAGCTCTAAAAGTTATTTTGTCTGTACATAGTGGAAAGGCTAAGGACAGGATGGCAAAGAATTTACAGACCTCCTTGTAAACGATGACACAATCTATACAACAAAAGCTACGAAACTGCAAAGTCTACAGTCAATGACTTCCTTGACAATACAGAGCAAATATCACCTTGCAATGTTTGTGATAATGCTAAACATCAGTACTGCAAGAATCTTCCAGCTACGTTTCCAATTTGGCCATCTTGACCGAAAAGCATCAGCAATTTACTCTTTAATCCAGTGGTTCCCAAACCAGTCCTCAAGGCTCCCCTACCAGTCCAGGATTTAGGGATTACCCAGTTGTGTCTACGGTGTTTTTTTTTCTTTTTCTAAAAGCACCTTAGGTACAACTAAATAATCTCTAAATCCTGGACTGGTAGGGGAGCCTTGAGAACTGGCTTGGAAACCACTGCTTTAAACTATTCTGTTTATTCCCTCAACACCCAACAGTAATGAATTGAAAACAGAATTTCAAAAAGCATGCTAAACATATTAATTTAAAAATACTTCCCAACTTGGCAATTCTGTATTTAGTTCATGACAAATCAACGATGAAAACATCCTTAAACCTTTATACTAAAGTGTGAATTGGCAGGAGTTCCATGTAGATTTCAAATTCTAAATTCAAATAGTGAAACTGAATATATTTGATAGCTGACTTCGAGAAGTTTTCATTTCATCTGTTTTATTCTAAAATCGGAAATTCACTTTGAACTTTTTGATAATTCATGTATGGAGGGTGGGATACTATGGTAAATATTTTAAAAAATTGAAAATTTCAATTAAATTGTTTTGGTCTTTTTTCAACTCTCTCAGTATTACTTTTTATATTCCACTTAGTAGGACTTCATGGTATAAATATGCGATGGAAGGGATATTTCAAGAAGGAAGTGGGTGATGTCACAAAAATCAATGGGGAGTGTTAGGATCATGCATGAAACAAATAAAATGAGTACATATCATCACAGAGGGGAACACTGATCAAAGTTTATCAAATAATGTCGTAATGCAAATAGGCAAGTCATTAAGAGATCTTATTGACTAAACAATACATTATTAATTACTTACAATGACAGGAGAGTTATATTGGCAGACAGTGGACCGAGATCAGGCATGCTTTTCAGCTGATTATGATTTAATCGTCTAATTAAAGAAAAACAGAGATTTAGCCAAGATCTTAAAAAAAAAAAAAAACAAGAAATACACCGGAGACAATACAATACAATACAATACAGAGACAATACTTCTAATAAATATTTTATATAATAATTCAGCATATATGTTAATGAAATACTTACAGTTCACGGAGATTATGGAGATGACTCAAGGAGCTGGCTTTGATCGAAGATAGTTTATTATGGCTCAAGTCCCTAAAATTTAAAAGAACCAAAATAATTAATCACAAAAGCAAATATATTTACAATTTATCATTAAAAATTAAATGTATTTTAAATCATGTCTCAGCTGTCTAATCCATAGCAGCATGGTATTTTGTGATGCTGCCATGGATGTATCACCAAAGGAAATCACATATGACTAACTTTTCCCTATTCCTTGTTAATCCACGGCAGCATTACAATATGCCCCCATTAATATATTCAGGAAAAGAAAATTACGGTAAGCATGACTAAATTTGTCCTATTTCGAGCATGTTACAAAATGATTCAATAGATATATTAAATGTAACATGTAACGCAAAATAGAACATACATGTGAATGCATTTGTGCCACAGAATTATTTTATTGTTAAGATGTGCAGATTTGTTGCCCTGAAACAATATATAATCTTTTAGGAAAGTAATTACACCAGCAAGAGACCTTTTACTTAAAACATCTACAGTTCAACCACTTCTACAATGGTTTAGTAAGATAGCATAATGTAAGGATTTTAAAAGGACTCTCTAGGCACCATAACCACTTAATTCCATTTAAGTAGTTATGGTGCCTGGAATCCCAGACATAATCTCATTGTTTAGTGTTAAACAGTTTTCAATTGGTTTAGCACTGAATGTGTGGCCTCCAGCATAGTGTCTACACTTATGCTGCTAATGGTATGGCTAAGAAGGAGGATAATCGTCAGTGATATAAAGTGATTATTGTGCCTAGAGAGTTCATTTAAATACCCTGCTCATAGTAATGTGTAAGGAATCTGCATATAACTTTGAGAAAATAGCGTCCTGTACAATGAATGGAAAACTGTGGCATACTGGATCCCTGTTTTTTTTTTTGTAAAGTTAGGAAATATTTTACTTCTATTCCATTGGCAATTCAACATTTTACAAAAAGGATATAACGTAGAGAAAAATCAATACACACGTTGCATTACAAGAACAGTATTGAACACTAACAAAGCAGTCATCACATCTTGGTTCATAACAGCTTTGTATCCTTCAGATTACACAATTCAACTGCAATTCTTACATTATCCATGCAGGCTTTGGTTGGATGTGCCAGATTGGAGGTATATTCCACACACACATGGCTCTCAATTCCAATAACGGTTAGGAGGAGTCATTTTGCCACTAGAGTTGGCAAATGGCTATTTTACAGACACTCGCGAATTTGGCACCATCAGGCCAGTATGGAAAGTGATGCCTACCAGCATGTATACTGTTTAAATGATCACCAGGTGCACATGAATGACACGTCCTACAAAGCAGCACTTTTAAGTCTTGTCCAAAGAATGTAGAATATATAAGCATTTCAAATAAACATGACAATCTATCAATCATTTCTCCGGCCTCCAAAAATATCCAGAACAGGATTTCTTTAGTTACGACCATGCATAAATAGAGAGAAAGGAAAATGAGTGGACCGATTTTAAGCCATTTAGTTCCCAACAATGATGTTGTTTAGATGCATGACCTGCAGGCAACAATAATAACCTGGCCATTATAGATAGATTAAACTAGATACAGATAGATTAGTTCTCAAATATAGATTAAAATAAACAGATCAGATGAAGATTGATGATGCAAATAATATAAAGATAGCTCTGATTTAAAATGTAATTTTAGAATAGACTGTGAACGAGGGACCATGAGCAACACATATTCTAAAATATATTGTGTTAGGATAAAACCATTTGCTAAGAGCATTTTCTGGGTAAAATACAGTTTTTTTCCAAATAGCACAATGTTTGCTTCATTAGTTGTGCTGACAGCTACACTGTGAAGCACTAAACATTTATAGTGATGTTATCTACAGGTCAATGGAGCACTCAGAACCATTCCAGAGGAACTAAGGGTGTGTTTTACATAACTTTGTAGATGTGCTGGATTCTTCTAAACATGGTCTGCAGGGCAATTACACTTTTCAACAATCCAGCAACATCTTAAAAGATAATATATCTACTTCTTCATCTACATACTCTGAAATCATGCCAAAAGGAAGACCATGTTTTTTCCCCATTTACAGTCGAGTCCCACTTATGTCACTGGGTGGGCACCGGATGAATAAAACGCACAAGTACCGCCAAAGACCATTAGAAACAGCATAAACCCAATAAAACATAAAAATAGTTTACTTGAGTGCAGCATATTTCACCTGAATGAAGTTGAAGAGATCCTTCTGAGAAATGACATTGTTTACATTTTGCAATTCTCGCACCTACTACTATCTTTCCGACAGACAGTTACTAAGAGCTTGTTTTACAAATATATTTAATAACTGGATCTATTTTATGTTCAGAATCAGTATGCAAACTTAACTGATGGTGGATGGTGTCGGTGTGTGCATCCAATGCTTCTCTATGAGAAGTATCTGTTTGACAAAAAGTCACCAGGATTGATAACTTCATTGGAGGAAGATCTGCTGTGGTTCCGGAAAAAAGCTACATTTAAGGAACTTACAAATTAAAAAAATAGGGTCTCCAAACAGGTTAAGGAACACCATAAAACCTACCAATGTTTTAAAACTTACAAAAGTGGGGGTTGGACAGAAGCAAGATTCTTCTAAGCAATTTTAGGTAACTTACTAACAAAAATTGATGTATCTTATTTACACACACTGATTTCTATAAACATTTATTGTAGTTTAACGACACATTACTGTGAGTATTATTGTTGTGGAGCTCTTGTATAAATTCAGACTCACAAAAAATACTGAGCTCCAACAAAAGAGGGACATTAGAATAAAAATCAGGGACAGAGGGATTTTAGTCGTATATAGGGACTGCCTCTTCTAAACAGGAACACTTGAGAGGTATGGCATTACAAACTGATACACACAGATAAACACTGCACTCATTTGCGTCAACATTAACATCTGTAAAGGTGAGAGCTCAATTAGCAGAAAAAAATATATATTTCAGAAGACAAAATAAATAAAGTCAAAAGGTGCACTACTGTAAACCACAATTATTGTAATATCTTGGGTTTGAGGTGCACAGAGAGAGAGACCCCACCCCCCCAAAAAAGAAAAGAAATTATATAGAATACTCGACTTTCCTATTGAGTAACATTTCTTACAACTGGAAGCCAACTTTCAGTTATGTACCAAAGATGTGGGTGTTCTTTTTCTCTCGGAATTAGAGAGCACTAAAACCAGCAGATTTCCCCCCCCCCCTTCCCTTCTGAACATCTGGCACGTGTATAAATCATGGCTCACTGCCCTGGCATGCAAAGGGTGAAATTTAAACATTAGTTACCAATGCCGTTGTGCATGAGCACCACAGTGGAGCCAGACACTTTCACTCACAGCTTAATCCCCCATCCATCTGGAATCTATCAATTCAGCCACAAGCATAACAACTTCTATTATACATCAAGTAGACTTAGACATTTTTAACACTTAAAAAAAACATACGGTTTACAGTGCAACATGAAGAAAACCACGCACACCCCTCACCCCCAAAAAAACACTTAATTTACCAATCAGTCCAATTTATGAGCCCGATAGAATAATTTGCAAATAGCGTCTAAAGAAGGGTAAAAATTAAATACAACAAGAAAGGTGGGTCCAAAAAGTATGAAGAAAAATGCTTTGATATTGTTTACAAACAAAGTGTCATCACATTATGGAATTTCAATTAAGTTGGCTGACTCAATATATGGTTTATAATACCTTCGTTGCTGATAAGAACAGAAGGAAAAGGAAGTCCAAAGTAAGTGCGGTAAAATTCTAAATCTTTACTATGGCATATTTCCTAGTAAGAAGCATTCATCTTTTGGGTCCAATAGTGGGGAAGTAAATTTTTTTTCATTATTCTGAAGAGCCAGGTTTCAGTTTAAACCTCAAACTCAAAAATAGTTTCAAAAACAAAACAAAAAAAAGGAGGACCTGCACCACAGACTCCTTGCATAGTCGCATCAATATGCTGTAATTGGATATGGTGCTTACCAAATCCCTTTAAAGATGGCTGCTCTTATGAGCAAGTGTAAGGTATGAGACACACTGAAGAGTGATCTTTAGTTACTTGTATGTATGCATTCCAAAATTAATATATTAAAAAAATAAAAAGATGGCAATTTTTCCTTAAAAGGAGTACTCTAAGTACTATAACCACTAAGGTATACTATACTGGTTATGGTGTCAGGAGTCCCCTGGCATGATCCTACAGTTAAAAGTAAAACCATTTTCCAAAGGTTTCACATTTACCTTGGTCCACTGTGGTGTGGCCCCTCTCTACACACATACTGCTAAAGTGGAACATTCAGAGTATCCAACAGTACATACCTATATATGTGTATAGATCATTAAGGCCCAGATCTCAGGAGAGCTCAAAAAGTGAGGAATCTTGAAATTTGAGTCATCGGTGGGAATTCCAAATGCAACAATGCACTAGAAAGCCAATTTATTCTATTCAGCAAACTCTGACCTGTCATACACTGGTTGTTAGATAATTAGATATTTTAGGTTGTTTTAACTAAAATTATAAATTCATTCGTCAAAACCTGCCAATTCATGGTTTAGCAAATAACTATATATATTTTTGAAATGTATCACTCAAAACACATACAGGACTGTTCACAAAAATTAGAATTAAGTAGAATTGTGGCCTAACATGTAACATTTACTTGCCATTTCTATACAATTCACAGTATAGTGAAATTGTACACGGATTATACACGCATACACATTACTGAACTGGAGAAAAATATTTCTGTGTTGAGCTAACCAGAAATATGCAGGTGTTATGAAAGCCTTAAAAAGGATTTTTCTTAAAGCAGGAATTTGGATATTACCAAGGGAATGCTAAAACTGTACTTATGTTTAAATATTCAAAACGGGGGGAGGGAAGGATGTAAACTAGGAACTATAGCTTGACTGTTCGGGTAATTTAAAGAGGACAAAACACAGCAGGGAAAAGTGTTAAAATAATTGTGTAAAAAGGAATTAAGGAAGATTTTGTCCAAACACTCAATGAATATTTTAATGTTACCAGAATCTATTAGCACTTTATGTTCAGCAAGAAACTAAGCATGTTTGCTCAAACACAACCAAACCACATGTGTTGCTCACACCTACCAAGATGTAGGCCTGTGACTTTGGGGCCAAATGTCACAGCTGTTAATTAAGTAAACACCGAAGGTTTCTGTATTCCATTCAACGTTTATTTACACAGATGCAACTATTCTAAATGAATGCAAGGAATGTTGACTCGAAAACACTACACTTCAAAATCTGTTTATTTTATATAGAAAAGTGTGTTCAGCTATTTAAAATGGCAAATGTGCAGGTATAAAAAAAAATATATAAAAACTTAAGAAAATACAAAAAAAACCACCTAAAAACACAAAGCTGTTCGTCTTTGAGGTTTCAGAATAGCAAACCAGTGCATATTTCAAAGAATCAAATTATACTTTAGAACTGGCTTTGTTTACTAGGCCGTTTTTCTCTCCAATATGAAGTGCTCCGAGTAGATTTAATACAAAGGTCAAAAACATTAAATAACAGCAAGTTTAAAAAATAAAATAAAAAATAGGGACCCAAATGGGTGCTTACAGGAAATTTATATTTACTTCAAATGTATTTACACTTGGAATTCTTCTTGTATCAAACACAAAATATTAAAAAGAGTAGTCTGTAATAAAACAAGGGCTATTCACGAAAGTATGAAATGTGGGGAATTGACAACGAATAAGAAATTTCAGTTGAACTGAAAAAAAAAATTTGACCTAAAACTGGAAATTACTTTTCAATTCTCAAAAATGCGAGCTTTAGTGAATAATTCTGTTTATGTAATAAAACATCACATTCTCACAAAATATTTGCTCTTATCTTCTTTATCACAGAAAAAAAAACCTCTCAAATACTAGTTCCCATATGTTGTCAATACAAGAATTCAGCCTCATGAATAAGACAGCACTCTGACCTCCAGATGAGGTAAATTGTACAGAATTAGCCACAACTAATTGAAAGCCTTCCTGCTTAGTTTAACTTTAAACCCCTTATCAAGATTTTGTAAATGCAACAAAATGAAAAATCAATTGAAATGAGAAGATTTCAAGAATTTAGTCAGATGAGACAGGAGGAACATTTTACATATTTGCACCTAAGCACACGAATCAGCATGCTTAACAAGTTCCTTTTTTGCTTGCCGAAATTAGGTTAGTAACTTTTGGGTTGTAAGAGAATAAAAAAATAAACAAAAATGTTCTAGTTTTGATACATTAGTAAACCTAGGGTCCAATCACCATTTTTCTAAAGAATGTCTATGTTTAGATGAATAGTAGATGTTTGTTTATGGAAGCAGCCATTTTGTTTTGACTTACGCCTATGCCTTTGGCATTTGAGGCAACATACTGGTGATTCTTTACTTGTGCAGTGCTCACATTTTTAAGACAGAAAACCAAAGAAATCAAATCTTTCTAAAGTGGTCTCTGGAAAAGTAAGAGTGACTTAAAACCATAAAATTATTGATTTGGATAAATTAATAACAAAATAATGATGCATGTTGCTAACAACGAGAGCTACTACTAATAAAAGACAAGTCCTTCTTGTAAATGTTCAACTTTGCATTTGTTTCAACAGTAATAAAACCCGACCATAAAAGTTCTCAATGGTAAACTCTAGACACCATTCTCTTTATACCATAAAGCAGACGTCTTACCTTCCCCCATACAGAGACTTTAAAGGGATCCTGTAGTGCCAGGAAAACAAACCCGTTTTCCTAGCACTATAGGCTCTTGGAGTGCCCCCTTCCCTCGGCGCTGAAATGGTTAAAACCCACTAAGCCAGTTACCTTAATCCAGCGCTGGTGACCTCTCCTCCCCCGCCGGTGTCAACTCCCGAGTGGAGCCAAATGCACATGCGCGGCCAGAGGCGCCTGCGCATTCAAGCCTTCCCATAGGAAAGCATTACTCAGTGCTTTCCTATGGGGACCTTTTTTGATGCTGGAGGTCTGTGAGGACGTCCAGCGTCAAATAAGTGCGATTTACTCAGTGTAAATTGTGGAAACGCCTCTTGTGGCTGTCCGGGAGACAGCCACTAGAGGCTGGATTAACCCTACAGTGTAAACACTGCATGTTTTCAGCTGCAAGGTTAAAACTAGGGGGACCTGGCACCCAGACCACTTCATAGAGCTGAAGTGGTCTGGGTGCCTATAGTGGTCCTTTAAGAAGCAATTTATCCAAGCTTCAGTACTCGTTTTAGAAAGCTACAGGATTGAGCTACAGTTGAGAAACTGCAACATTTTAGCCTCTCGTGTTTTAAAACTCCTATAATCCCCTTGCAGTTGAGAGGCCTTGTGCATTGTAGTGGGATTCAATTTAATGTTGCTGCTCCTTTAATACCAGAGTAGCCAATCACGTGTTTACTTTCAATCAAATTACTTGTTTGCAACAAAATGGAGCTGGTTGAGTAATTTAATTACCTTGTGTGACCCAGGAACATTTCAGACATGTCTGGATCTTTTTAAAAGTCTGTTTTCAGGTTTGTTGGTGTGATATTATAAAAGAGGCACTATAACAAAATGACTTAGATATGATCAAGTGTTAAGTTTTATTCATGTACTAGTAATCCACATTGACGTAAAAAAAAAAACCCCAAAAAACAAGCATGCATGCAAAAGGGAAATTAGGGAATAAAAAAATAGGAAATTGATATATACTTAGAATGCACTTATCTGTTTATTTTATATACAGATAGACAGGCAGTGACTGAAAGAAACATAGGCTGCATTTATTTATCACTTTGCCAATAAGTAAATATTTCTCATTTTTTAAAATAGTTGAGAACAGAATTCTATTGCGTGACTAATCTCAACTTTTAAGATGGATTCATCAGTCTTAAAATGTAAAAATGCAATTAAAGGGACCTGTGAACCCTGAACTCTTTGCAATAGTTTTAACAATAGTTATCAATTAAATGCTTTGTTTACATTTGTATTCTGGGAAACAGAAAAAAAGGCAATCCCTGCTGTGCTAATGGGAAAGGAAAAAAAAATCCTGCTTTTCTTTTTATCCAGAAACCTCTCAGCCCTAACCCTTCTCTAGTGACATCATCTTCTACCAGGAAATGGCTGAGATCTATTAGCCAGTTTTGGCCTCCTTACAATGTAAGTCTGTAAAAGAACTATAGAACACGGACAGTAATGTGTACATCCTTAAGAAAGCAGTGCCTTGAGGTTTTTCTGACAAAAAAAGGAGTAAAAGAGAGAAAAAAAAAGAAAGAACAGATTTTGCTGCTAATACATAGAAGCAGCTGACACCCACTCGATTGAGAGTTTACAGGAGAACATGTAGTTGTACATTTCCTGCTAGGTGTCTTACCACTTCCTCTTGGAAATAGGTAATGTGGGTGGAGCCAAAGTACATAAAAATGTGTATGACAAAGAACAACATAAATCAAAACAAAAACCTAAATAAAATATAAGCTGGGTCATACTTGGCAGTGTTCTGAAAAGAAATCTTGCAACTTAGATTCCTGCTTTTCTCTTTAGGTGGCAATCAATATGCGCATTAAATTAAAGCACGCTTTATATGACTTTTGTCCTACGCTAATCTACTGAATGCCAAGATACTTTGATACATTGAATAGGTAAGAAAAAGTCCAGAGAGCCTGTTGAAAGGCCTGACACAGTAAATGATTCAACTATGTAATCTACAGATACCTGTTATTAAACAATGTAATATCATTTAAACCGCGTGAAGTGATCATTAAGGCATGAATAACCAGTGAACATAAGCCTTCAATAAATCGCTAAACATTGTACACTTTTTGTCAACCTAGCAGTAAGTGAAAAAAGCTAGAATTCAAAAATGTGTTCCTATTCAACTATTTTGACCTAAAATTTTAAAGTCTTTCCACAACTACCCCTCAGTTGTCCACATTTCCTGATTCAGTGAATAACGCCAATTGGTTGTTTATTTTTCTACACAGACGTGGTGTATATTACCCATAATGCATCAGATTTAAACCAGCCATGGGCTTTAACCCCTTAAGGACACATGACATGTGTGACATGTTATGATTCCCTTTTATTCCAGAAGTTTGGTCCTTAAGGGGTTAAGGGTTTAACACCACACTACACCTTGAAAATGAGATGTAAAATGTTGCAATTTCCACAAGAAATGTGTACAAAGTACAACCTGTCATTTTAAGAATCAGTTCTTAGCACTAAGTGATTAGAAGTAGGATGCCTCTTCTATTTACAGAAATGGGGGTTGTATTAGTTGCAGATGTTGTTGGTTCAGCTGGGCAATACTCATGGAATGAAGATGAGCCAAATGGTTGGGAACTAGTTTTAACAGTTTTCTTTGATTGGGCTTCACTTCGGGGTCAGACACACAGGCCGGACTTTTTAAAGTAAAAATCATGGCAAAAGTAACCAATGAAAGAGAACTGAATATTTGCTATGGCCTATAGGAAGTAATTATACACATGGGTAGAGAAAATCATAGCTATCTAAAGAACAAAAAGTTAATTCATACCTATTAAATTATTAGAGAAAAAATATATTTTCCAGGATAGAATAAAAATAAAAGGCTATGACAGACAAAGGAGCAAACTGAGGCAATAAGAAATATCCTGGGACAAAGTTCTGAAACTGGAGCTGTCACCATAGAAACCAATGGTATGTCCCCACTGATTGCCCCAAGATTACTTTTCATAGACTGATCCTAGATTGTAAACTCATTTCAGCAGGGTCCTCGGCAGCCTATTGTTCCTGTCAAAATTTGTAATAATTTGTCTCACAAAATAATAATTATAATTTTCACAGTTAAACAAAAGTTACTATGTTTATTTGAAACTAGCAAATGAAAGTTATTTCAATTTAGCCTAGTTTTATATCTTTTCCCAATTCTGGCCAAAATGTTATAACTCGGTTTTTCAAACTCAGCAGAACCGTGAAGCCAAACTCTTGAAGTCTGCCTCTATGTCAGGGATAGGCAACTTTGGGCACTCCAGATGTTGTGGACTACATCTTCCTTGATGCTTTGCCAGCATTATGGCTGTAATAGCATTATGGGAGATGTAGTCGACAACATCTGGAGTGCCGAAGGTTGCCCAACCCTGCTCTATGTTATATGCAGCATGCCAGGTGAATTGTTTGACTTGTAAAACACAGTGAAATATTATGGCATCTTATAAATAATACATTGTGGTTTGACCCCATGCCCACAGGGTTATTCATTTGACTCCAGACTGCAGCAAAATAGCTACAATTTCATAAAATATGGCAAAAACAGCTGACCTAGAAAAATTCACCAACAGCTTTAGTCACATTTTGGCTCTTGTACCCTGAGTTTCCTAATTAACATTTTAATCTGATACAATTCAGAGTTTAGTGAATAAACCCTCAAGCCCAGCTAGAGATGGAGGGATGCTGCTTCCCCTTAACTGCAGAGCAATGGCTATCTAAGTTAACTTTGTGCCTACATTACATGGTTTGTGCATCCAAGGACATACTTGAAAAACAAGAGAAATCTCAATGTATCCTTCCTGGTAAAACACTTTTAAAATAAATAGATAATACTCACAGCTGCACTACCCATTCAGGGAGATTCTCAGGCACCCGATGTAGGTCTCCTCGGCTGCAATCCAGGAGATCCCCAAGGCAGCGACAGTAAATGGGACAGGAGCTGGGTACATTCCTCACACGGAGTCCAGAAGCTCCTGCACCCAATACAGCTGGGACCAGAGAGAAGATCAGCAAAAAACCCATAGCCAGACAGGCGCTATGCAGCATCTCCACAGCCAGCCTGGCACTCCGCAGCCTTCCCACAGCCAGCCAGGCGCTCCACAGCATTCCCCAGGAACGAGTGCCCCTATTCTCCCCCCAGAACAACCAAATTCCAGATAGAAAGCAGAGCACAAAAACAAAAATCAAGTCTCCAGATCTAGAAGTAAACCCTGTGTGTCCCAGCCTGGGATCCTTGCATGTCTCTCACTGCAGGGCAAAGTAATGCAAAGGGCTGGGAAACCCAACAAAAAAAAGGTTGGCAGGTAAAGCTGAGAAAAAAGATCCAGCTCAAATGAGTAAACTTCCCCCCCTTGTGTCCCTCTGGCTAGGAGGGGGGAGTGCTGGGCTCTGTGCTGATTTGCTGGAACAACCCCCCTCACGTGACCAAAACAAGTACTCCAATTCAGAGCAGGGGGGAGGGTGAGCAAGAAAGACAAGAAAAGCCATGAAAAGGCAAGAGATTTACAATACTCCACCTAACACCTCTCAATGTGAAGATTACACAGATTGCTGATAAGCACTGATTAGGCTGCAAGGATTCTTTTGCTAAGAAGAGTTCTCCCTTAGCTGCAGGAGGATGAGGAGGGGTGAAATGCTGCAAGCTATTTGACTTGGATTAAGCGCTTTAATGTTTGGGGTGGAATTTGGAAAAGTGGAAAATAAAATAAAAACCGAATCAGTTGCTGCCGTCACTAAGCACTATCAGACTGTCTTCCAGTGTCGTGTTTTTGTTATTTTTTAGCATTGAGATCTCAAAGATTATTTCATGTTTGTTTTTTAATACGTCACCTTAATTTAATTGCCTTCAATCATCTGTCACTTTACATAAACTACCCTCAAAAGGGATAAGTAGAAAGATACATTCGCAGGTGTGCTTCAACTACAATTCTCTATGATACTCTAAGGCTGGCAAGACATGACGTGGTCCTGCTATTACCGAGAGATCAGTATTTAGCCATTCCCGCATAATGTTCTTTGAAAGAAACACTATAATCACCGGAACCACTACAGCTAAAAAGGACATAATGGACACCATAACAACTTCATCAAAACTAGGTTGATATTGTGTCAGGAGATCATTGTTGCCAGCTTACCTATAAGGGTTAAAACATTTGATTAATCATTAGCACCCTAAAACCAGCACTGGCCAGCTCTGCCCATTTTCTTTCAATGCTTGAATCAGGAAGCCTTGAAGAGGGGTGCCGCCGACTGACTGAGAGAGTCTGCAGCACCTCATTCACAAAATGGCTTCACAAAAACATGTTTTTTTCAAATCATTTTGTGAGGCTCTGCACTCGAAGTGTCTGTACATGTATTGCCACAGTGCAATTCAAGACACAAATATACAATTCCAACAAATAGAAGCACTCACTGGTCTTTTTGGAATGCCAAATATCTGCCTTTATTGCTTATGGCAGTGTGGATACTCCACTGTCGATGTTTCGTCCAATAATATCTATAAATATTATCTTTTCTCCCAATTCACTCTACTGGACCTACTTAAACCAGAAATACAATATTGTACAATGCAATCACTGTTTAATCTTAAAGCCAATACTTCCTGTTAAATCTTTTGAACTACTTTCTGACATATAACATGGTGGGTCACTTTCTTCTTCTTGAAGACCATGACAACTTGTAACACTGTAACATTGTTATTTTGTGCTTTTTGAGTTCTCTTTTCAGTAGCGAATTCTCTTACTTCCCCACTACTTCGTTTAGTGAAAGTTTATTTCTGCCAATCCACCCAACTTCTTGTTTTCGCTTTCTGCTACTTCACTGGCAATCTAGATCCTTAATTTTGACTCCATTACCATCTTTATTCAGATAAAACTTGGATAGGCTATGTTCCCTTGGTGTATCGTTGTGTGTCACTAGTTATCTGCTTTATCTCTTACTGGATGATAGCACACATCTCAGTGTCAACACACAAGAACTCTTTGAAAACTAGAGGATCCCTCTCACCACTCTGTTACCCTGAAAAGTCTAAAAACTAATATCACAAGATATATCTTTATGTAATGTATAGTTTTTCCCTATTCTTTTTATATACCCCTGTTTAGGGAGCTTTACATGGGTACATGGGTTTGCACGTGGGTTTAAATTATTTTAATAGAATTTCTACTTGCCAGGGCTCAAAATTTCCACTCACCATTAGCCATAGGCGAGTTGAAAATTCAACCCTAGTAAATATGCCAAGTATCCTCCAGGCGAATAACTTTAGAACTTGAAATTGTAAGCATAGATAGGACCATTGATATGAGAGGAACATCATATGGTCGTACATTCACCCAAATAAGTTAATAAACAAACGGACAAATACATACAATCTTTAACCCCTTAAGGACCAAACCTCTGGAATAAAAGGGAATCATGACATGTCACACATGTCATGTGTCCTTGAGGGGTTAAGCCATTTTGGTTAAAATGTAGTTAGTAGTTTGTACTGGGAGTGCTTGACTAGATAGAATGAAACCAGTAAGGAGATCTTGGGTAAAAAGCTGAGGTAGAAATTATTGAGGTAAGTCCAGTATGGTAAAGTTGAGGGAGTGAAGAAGGAGATTTACCATGGACAGGGTAACGAGCAGGTGGATTTTGTGAATACTGAACAGAGGAAAACAGCAGGTGGAATTAATGGCTTTTATGTATGTTATGTATGTTTCAAAGAATGTCAGGAGAGAATGAATACAGCAAGCTTTGGATAATTGGAAGATGGTAGAAGAATAAAGATAAATAGTGATGGATGAAAGGGTAGGTATAGCTAGAAGATGTAGTTTTATATTCCCATGGGAATTAAATGTTTTCAGGCAAGGACTTACCTCTGTAGCTCTCCCCTGGAGTTTGATTCTATGCCCCTAGCGTGAGAAAAGATCTACTTAATGTAACTCTACTATTCAGACACCACCGTTAGCTCTTGTGCAATTTGCAATGTTGCATGACAAAACAGACCTTTAGGAATCATTTAAATGGCCAATACTTTCATTTAACTTTCATTCTATGCTTTTAACTTATACACAGTGAATACACAGAGAATACATAGATAAAGCAAAGATAAATTACTATAAAAGAATGCATTGAGATTTTTTTTAAAAAGAAAAAAATTGATCAACCCAAATGGATCTAGTTATGCACAATACCACCCAGCCACTAAAATAAGCCTTCCGATGTGGTAGATATTGGCATTACACTATGGTTCATAGTGATTTGAGTCAACGGTTTAAACTATGCCATATAATAGAGTTTATATATATATATATATATATATATATTAGCATTGTTATTATTGTAGTGTGTGAGATGAAATTGCACTACTTAAGGCGCCTTCATCTAAATTACCTAGTAAGCACTCATTAACAGTCAATAGGCTTTTCATGTTGTATACTCATTTTTAGTATACTCCCACTGCATTTGGATAGATTTGTTAAAGGAACACTATAGTGTTAGGACTATAGTGACCTATTTGCCATTTAGGTAACTTTTTACCAGGGTTAAAAAAAATGTGCTTTACTTATATTTTCTCCTTCACATTGCTGGCTTCCGGCATTCCACTTTGTCTTTTTGGTTGAGATCATCAAGACCAATAGGAATGCATTGGCAGACTAGTGAACATGCTCAGCAAAACATTGTCTCTGAGACCTTTTGATTAAAATAGTGATGTTTTACTGCAATATTTTGGCTAAAGCACCACTTTTGGCTGTCATAGTAACAGCCACTAGAGCAGGGATACAAAATGTAGATCCCCAGATGTTTTAAAACTACAACTTCCATGACACTTTGTCATTCTAAAGGCTTGCAAAGACATGTAAAGTATCATGGGAGTTGTATTATTATTATTATTGGTATTTATATAGCACCAACCAATTTAACAATAAGGTAGACAATTACAAAGTGATGCAGGAATAAATAGGTAGATGAGGACCTTGCTCAAACAATCTTAGAGTCTTTTTCAACATCATCTGGGAATCTACCTTTTTGGCACCCATGCCCTATAGGCAAGCTAACCCTGCAATAAAAACATTGACATTTTTGCAGAATGGTAATGTTTTCAAATGTAGGGTTAAAATGGGTGGGACGTGTCTTCAAGACCACATAATTGAGATAAAGTGGTCTGAGTGTCTATAGAGTCCATTTAAACCTACAATGTTGTTGCATAATTTGGTATATTGATAAAGCTTCAAGCATCTCCAAATCTCCAAATCATTTCACATGACCATAAAGTGATATTTATATCCCTGTAAACCAGTCAACCTTTTTTTTTTTTTATAATATACTACTGTGGGGAAAAAAAAATAACAACATTATAATAACTTGTATTTTATTCAACACTACTGCCTATGCTTCTTGTATCAGTATATGTAACAAGAAATACCTCTGTCTCATGCCCTAGCTATGTTATTTTTTTTTTTTTACCAAGTTTGGAAATCTCTCTGGATAAGTGAGCTATATAAGTGTTAAACAATAATAAATAAAATGATCACCCAGCTTTTGAGAGGATGGTATATTGTTTATAGATACTAATTTACCCATTCTACTTGCACTTAATTTAAGATGAAACTTTCATATTTTTACTTTATTCTTGTTACAAACTCCTAAGAAACAGATATAAATTATCTTTAAAATAATAGATACTAGGTGAAGAAAGGGAGTTGAAAGGATTTGCTCCCTCCAAGAATTATTAAATTGGAGAACTTACAAGGGTGACGGGTAGGGGTCTTTTTGAGGGTCTTTATTTATGATTCAGAAAACAATAACTTTATGCCAAGATTATTTATTCGGACTCCGTAATCTTACACTCTCCTTTCTTCTGGCATATCTAACTGCTTTGTACAGACGTAATGTATTAACTTCAGCAAGACTACCTCATTCCTCGCATTGTGGTTTAAGATTGGTGTCAACTGTTAATTTTGCATGTCTGTGCAATATGAGTCTTTGAAGCTTGCCAGTGATCTATTCAGCATAATAGAATTAATTTGATGTGAGGCAAGAATACAAAAATATATGTATAAAAAGTTTGTTATGTGTTATGCGTTAGAGCTATAATTCATAGCATTGTTTGGAACGTGTGAACTTGACTTATCTGAAGTGTTGGCAAGGGCAGTGACTCACAGATAAGAACACAGTGATAAGCTGCTTGTTTCAACATTTTGGCAGATGAAGAGAAAGAAACAGTTCTTCACTTGTTTTATCATCCCTGTTATGTGTTTTGGTCTGTATCCAGACAACATTTCAAACATGTGAGAACAGTAGGCGTAAAATTCAAGTTTTCTTGATCAGGACAAAATGCTTTTCCCCATAGACAATGCTAATGAAGGCCTTAAAAGTTGTACCAGAAGCTTATGATATCAATTACCATTTTACAAGTAAACACAGCTACATAAAATGTTAATGGTTAAACACTGTATCCAACTTATGGACGAGGGTTATCATTTTAATTAAAATTCATTAGATGCATTA